GGGGGAGGATAAGGAATTCCGTGTCGCTGCCGTCATCCTTTTCACTGTCAGCTGTTGCGGTTGATCCTCGCCGTTATTCTTTACCGTCATCGTTGCCGGTCGTCGTCGCCTCTGGTCACTGTGGCTCCTCGCGGAATGAGAAGGCTGACCGGAAGCTGGTCTTCGGTCGATCGCCAGCCCATGCGTGCACATTCGGGAGTCCTACCCTCTAACTGGTATGGGTAATCATGGCGGGTGTCCTAGACCAGCCGAAGAACGCGAGCAACCACCCTAGCTGACTCATATTCTTCCCCATACAAATACAAGGAATGCGCACTAAGTGTAGTTGCAGTTTATATACAAAGAAAATGTACATCATTTTTATGCGCTTTTGCTGCGCAGCACTATAGCACTGCTACAGCCAGCAAAAAACGCACATTGTCGAGAGGTCGCCTGCGTGTATGTGTGTGTGTGTGTGTTCAGAAATGAGTGAACACTTTCATTTCAGCAACTAGGAAAGCTCGGAGGCTGAAATTTTAGGTGTTTGTTCCTACCTCGTGTGTCATCCTCCTGTTTTAAAATTTTCGCTCACACACACGCCTAGTTCCCGTATACGGGCCCCCGAAACAAATATGCAGATTTCTTTGGTGGGAAACGATTTAGAGAACAAGGCAATGTACAAAGCTGAAACTTTGCAGGGATATTCTCTGTGCATGTGCGAGCTAAAGATTTCAAATCCAGCTATCGTGCATGCTTTTACAGCGCGTATGATCACGTCAAATTCTGCAATTTGGTACTGTGCTAACTCGAAAACTTGCTGGAAAACAGTGGTTGATATTTTGCCAGTGAGTATGTTGCCCATATGGGAAATTGTGTACCTAAAATGAGTACCGACTTGGACTTATGTCATGACTTAGGGCAATTCAGAGATATTTAGAGCGAAGTGAATATTTCGCTTACCAGACAAGTTGCGACCCTGTGATATTCTAATTCCAAGTGCGGTCTTAATTCTGCCAGGAAGTGAAATTACCTGCAGGCGGGTATGAGAAATGTCAAATTTACTGAAAAATTTGGAAGAGTGTTTTGCAGCGAACGACCGCCCTCATCCAAATTTGTAAATGAACATTCATTTCATTTGCATACTTGGATTTTTTGACGAACGACCGCTGTAGCAAAATTTCTACTTTTTAGTGAACTGAAAGCTTGCATTTTTTTAAAAGAGCGAGCACTTATAGACTCAGGCTGGAAAGCACCAGGCGAGCCGGTGTGACCATGCGTTTTTGCACAGTTTCTTGCTGATTTTTAATGCTACGGTGCTATCTGGCCGCGGTGCTTTGCAAAGCTCTGTATATTGTGATGTAAAATCTAAACAGCCGAGCGTTCTGTTCAGAGAATTTTGAAGTGGGGCTGAAGTAAGCAGTGCTCCTGTCGCCTCAGTTCAACTCGCAATGGATCATTTGGATGTAGCTGGCGAGGCGTGGTGAATGTGCCAATTATGCACAGCTCAGAAAGTGACATAACTCTGGGCAGAGCTACGTACAGCAAAGCTCGAGTTCTTAGTTTAGATTAATTTAAAAAAAAATCAGCTGCGCGTAAGAAGTTTATGAGCTTAATGTATACACGCAGTTGTGTGTGCGATAAATTCTCGGTATTCAAAATGCCGGGAAATATCCCAACTTACTCCTCACATGTAGAGCATGCATGCAACGATTGATAGATAATGATGCATGCATGCATGGCGGCGTACTGTAGAGCAGTGCTCGGTCGATCACTACATTTCCTCCACGTGTTCACATTTTCCTTTGCTGTGCACGCCTGTGCGGTTGTATTCGTTTGTTCGGCTTGAACAGGGTCTTCGTCGTGAAGAGTGCTGCTGGGCGTGGTGTAATTTGCGAGAGCGGGGCGAGTTTAGCTTTTCTAGCTTTTCTTCCACTTCTAGTGCCTACGACTATTACGTGCATCTGGCATAGCAGAAACAGCTTGCGATAGGCTGCTGTTGTAGTTCTAGATACATTATGCCCTGACCTCTTCCGGCGTGCAGGAGAAAGGACATCGGTTGAGATGAAGCTACTGCATTATAGGGCCGCATGGGCCAGGAGGTACATGATTACTAATTTTTTACATGAAACTCAGTCGTTTTTTGGCATGTGCTTGCTTTGTAAAAAAATGACAAATGTATATTCTTTGAAAAAAATGCAAATTTCCAGTTCACTAGAAAGTTTTCAGGTTAGCATAGCACCAAGTCGAAAATTTTGACGCGGCCGTACGCGCTGCACACGCGTGCGCGACAGTTGAGTTTAAAATCTTTAGCTCGCACGTGCAGAAAGAATATCCCTGCAAAGTTTCAGCTTTGTATTTTGCCTGGTTCGCGAAATCGATACCGAAATCTTTTCCCGCCAACGAAATTTGCACATTTTTCAAGGGCCCGTACGCGGGATCTAGACGCGTGTGGGGGAATTTCTTGAAAGGGGAGCATGACACATGGGGTAAAAGCATGTACTCAATGTTTCAGGCTCCTAGCTTTTCTGGTTGCTGAAATGAAAGTGGGTGATAAAATGCACTCGCTTCTGAATACACACACATACTCACACAAACACACACACTGACAGCCTCTCGACAATATGCGTTTTTGCTGGCTGTAGCAGCGCTATAGCGCTGCACAGCAAAACCGCATAAAAAACGACCGGGCTTCATGCAAAAAACTAACAGTCATGTACCTGGAGGTCCGTGCGGCTCTATATAACCGACGCTCTTTCTCCTGTGTGCCAGAAGAGGCCAAAGCGCGACCAGTAGAAGCGAAATTGTTAGGCTATAGCGCAGGGATTATTCCTGCGAGCAGCGAGTTTAATGCAAAAACGCATGATCACACGGGCAATCCTAGTGCGTTCCAGTCTGGGTTGAATCTGAATTGAGCTGTGTAGATCATAGAAGTTACATCGAGAAATTCCGTCTTCTCGATAATTGGTGTGCATACGGCCGCATTGCTGGTGAAGATAATTTAAGGGAAATTAACAGCTATATTTATCTTGTCCAAAAGGTAATATACCCCATGATCTTCAACTGGAGATGGCACTTAGAACTGCTGCCGGTTGACGCAAATTTCACTGCGTTGTCGGCGTCCTCAAAACGCGGAGTCTGAAGGACCGTGTCCAACTGTCCAGCACCACTCTGCTGGAGGCAGTGCTGTATGGTTGCGAAACACGATCATTGACGAATGTACGAGAGCAAGCGATCACAGCGGCAAGGCGCTTTGGATCGGGTGATGCTTGAAGTATTTCTTCACTATATAAGCAGTCAAACTTTCCGTGAGATGGTACTCGCGACCTTTCAAAAGACGAAAGCATGCTCTGGCATTTTCCAAGGATTTGGCGAGGAACCACAAAAGCTGAAAGGGTGAAATTTCAGGATGGTGTCCCCGCCCATCTTCGACATTGCAGATTTAAATTCAGCTTTCTCATCCGCCTGGGCACTACTTACGGCCCAGTGGTAGTTTTGATTGGGGAAATGTTGGGAGCAAGTGATCTTGCTCTCCCCTTTCGAGAACGTTCCAGCGCACAGATCTGGAGCGTAGATCGACTGGAGAAGTTTAGGGCAGTGTATCGACGATCGATAGGACTGTGCGGCCGACCAACAAGGATCGACGTCGCCCCTTGCAGCAGCTTCGACAACGTCTCGGGGAACGTGGAATTGGAAGGTCGAACGGACCGTGTTGACCGTGGTACCCCGGTCAGCACCAACCGAAGAATCATAGACTCGGAGCTCCGTAACTGCCAGTTTGATATTTTCTGTTGTACTAATAAAATCGAACTCAACGTGTGTCGCAACGGACACAACAGTGGCGATCAGGATGATTGATGCTGATATGCTCCAGCAAATTTTGGACGCCCAGCGAAAACAACAGGAAGAACTGGTAAGACAGTTATTTGAAAAACTAACGGCTATTCCGTCTGATGGGCAGAGTACCGGAAGATTAGAACCAACCATAGATACCTTACAAAACAGCATTACTGAATTTGCTTTTTCCTCGGGTGAAGATGTCACTTTTGACGCTTGGTACAGAAGATACCAAGATGTTTTTGAGAAGGACGCGGTTAAACTTGAGGATGGGGCGAAAACAAGGTTGCTGTTAAGAAAACTAAGCACGCAAGTACACACCAAGTATGTGAATTACATACTTCCAAGAACTCCGGGAGATATCACGTTTTCAGAAACCTTGAAAATTTTGACGGACATGTTTGGTCCACAAACTTCTTTATTCGCCACACGTTACAAATGCTTGAAACTGACCAAACAAGCAGATGATGACTACGTGGCATACGGCGGAAAAGTAAATTTGGAGTGCGAAAGGTTTAAGCTCGGGAAGCTCACAAATGATCAGTTTAAATGCTTGGTATATGTGTGCGGGTTGCAATCGCCAAACGATGCAGCGATAAGATTGAAGCTGTTAAACAAAATTGAGAAAGAGCCAAACACTACTCTACAAGAATTAATTGAAGAGTGTAAAAGGCTTGTATGTTTGGTTGAGGATGCCAAGTTAGTTGAACAAGACGCAGCCAAAATGGC